CACCCACACCCACACCCACACCCACCCACACACCCACACCCACACCCTCGTTATTAGAATTGACGTAAGCAGCTAGTCATTTTTTTCGTATTGAAAGAACGATTGTTCTATATATATAGAATGCAATGTAATTAAACAGAGAGATGACAGATGCAATAAACGTGTAGTTTTGCGCAGCTATACTAAATATATACACGTTTTTGCACTCATTATTCGTGCCATATGTAAGCGTACTGTGAGTATGAGCATCTTATGGGAGCGAACATAATTAGGGTGTGGGCGTGTATGTCTATTTTTATCAACTACGCCCACACCCACACCCACATACACACCCGCTTTGACTCTGCTGTATTTGTTCAAATGGTTCAATTCTCGAAAGAAAAAGAATCACAAACAAAATACAATAATCTATCAGAATTCGAAACAAATTCAAAAATGAATTGTTCGAAAACAATAGATATCACTATAAACAGTGTGAGTCTCGCAATGCCCAGATCTGCGTCTTGTTCTAGAAGATGTAGAAGAATGCGATAGAATGAAGGTCTTACCTGTGCGGCGATTTTGTGCACTTGTGTGTTTTCGAATGTTCTTGGGGCTTTTGAAGATACTGTTTTGGATAAAATGGTCATAATTTATCTGAAACATGAAGAAATTTCTGCATCGATGCTGGTACACAAGAATGGTGATGTATGGTCACGTTAGGAAGATGCTGAGTGGGTTCTGTTTGCTTTTGGTCTGATAGTGTAGTGTGCAGAAAGATTTCGAATAAAGTGATAAACATAGCCTATCGATATATGGGAAGAAGTTTCGCACAAGCAAGAATAAAGTCAATTCGTTGTTGATCTACTGTTGTTCATGCTTGTGTTGTTTCTGAACGGATTTCGTCTAACAAGTTCTTTCGAGAGGTTTCACTTGTTCTGACTACCAACAATAAGTTTGATGGTTTCTATGTACGTGTTTTGAAATGTGCTATCTCATATCTGATGAATAGTTCGTTTGTAATTCGAAAATCGTTCTTCATGATTGTAGTGGATTATAATGGAATTGACACGTTCTCTTCGTTTCAATAATTTTTCTTTCACTAATTGGTCGATGTTGACAGGAACGTTATTATAGTCGATGGTTGGGTGTAGGTGTCCGTGTAGGGTGAGTGTGGCTGTGAATCTGCTCTTGAAGGACATCCCATAGACCCACATCTACACCCACATCCACACCCACAGCCATAGCCACAGCCATACCCCACACCCACACTACTCTGTTTGAACTGCAAGTGCCCACAATTCATGTGAAGCCGAATTAGACTGTTGGTCACTCTTCTATTTTTAGCTTGATCTATAGACAACCGAAGCAAAGCAAGATCAGAAAAAAAGTGACTTGTCAACAGGTTTGATACATTCTTAGATTTTTAAATCAGTTGGTTATTACAAAAGATTTCAGAGAAGTGACGTGTAGATGTATAAGTTATCGATAGAATATGTATAAAATTTATTGTTGATTATATTTAAAGAAGATTCGGTAGTGAAATAAAAGCAGTTTGAGCTGAGAAAAATTATTTTGTCACAATCATCCGTTTTATTAGAAGAATCGATATACATAAAACTTGGCAAGTTTATTCATATTTTTTAAACTTTTATCGTTTACCATCATTGTTTTCGTTTTCGTTCTATTAACAAGACCACATGATTTTTTTTTATAAGTATATCGATAAATATCCACAATGCATGACAACACATATGAGTTAATGTTCTGTAATACGACCAAGGATAAAATCCATCCATGGAGCGGTGGATGTAGGAGTGTGAATGTGATCTTCTTCTGTCATAACCCACACTCGCACCCGCCTCGAGCGACAATAGTGTAAAAAATAAATTGAAAAAATTAGATGTTGTTTATTCTTGGCTAAGAAAATAAATATATTGTTGTCTTATAACTTGTGAAACTCAGTTGTAAATAATTCAAAACGATTTTTTTACAACGTTTTTCTTATGAAAATGAGCTATGAGGGTACATATGCAGTTTAAGAACACCATCACATTCAATTAGCGTATTATGCACATCAATCACAGTGTAAGCGAGGGCGAGTGTGCTCAAACTGCACATATACCCAGATTTTTAATGGTGTAAGCCCTTATTGAACAGCAATGATGAAAATGAATATTCACAATAAGCATGAGAGTATCCAGAAGCATGAATTATTCTACGTGAACATCTGGATCATTTCTAGTGACTTAAGCTGCAAAAAAAAGAGGACTATATGCCATTTACAAATGATTCAATAGACAATGGTTCAAGCTTGATGAATATGCAAAAAACAAGATTTATTAATATTACTTATCATCGTATGGTTTACTTATTCTTTAAGTAACATAAAGCGTAGCTGTCCGATGATGAACATAAGCTATCATAGATTACATTTGAAATCTCTTTTGGGAGAAAAAAAATGAAAATGAAAATTTAGTCATCTTCTTATCGACTTCTAACATAAAAGGATTTAATTGTAAATGCATATGATAATACTTCAATATCAGTATGAATCATTTTATTAAAGACAAAAAAATAATTTGATTTTACAATACTGGAATAATCATATATCAAAAATACATTATATATGTCTTTGAATAATTGGAATGATTAAAAAAAAAGATTTCATCATTCGCTAATGATCTTTTTTACTAGCCATAAAAAAAAGAATATTTTTGGTGTGAGAAGACTTAATAAAACTTAAATTTGTCGAGTTTCAGTTACTTCATATTAATAATAAATGATTTCTATTTAAGATTAAAGAAGTCCGATGTTAACTAATTGATTGATATACAAGCTTGTTGTAGGTGTCGCTAGCTAGTGTTAACAAACAGTTGAATGAGATTTTTTTTCGACATCTAAAAAAATCTTTTATTATTTTTTCTGCTGAAAAATGTATCATTGCCAAAAGTAGAAATAGGATTTCCATTTATAAATTAAGCTTAAATTAATTAATTTATATTTACTTTGACACTATTTGATTCAAAAAGTGAGTGTTCCAATCATAAAAATATTAATTGTAAATTTTCTCATGTATGAATTACTTGAACTATCATCTTTAATTTTATAGTACTTTATGAAAAGATAGTCATTTTTTTTTTATTACTTTAATATTAATGATTTTTAACATCAGTATAGGTTTGTCGCTTAGCAACTTTTACCATTCGTTACCCTACTATGAAATCTGATCTATCAATTCTTCCTCTGACCAGTAATTTGCGGTTCAGTGTTTTAGTTATTTTATGATTTGTTGATTGTGAAGAAGAAAAAAAAATTCCTTTAGGCACATCTGGCCAATTTCACATCTTTGTTTCATTTGACACAACCATTAATTGATTACTTGAAGTTTATTTTTCTTTGTTACATATTGATCTGTATCGTTCTTTCTCTTACTTTTTCATATTGACTTAAGTTTTGTATATTTAATGATCAAATTCTTCTCGTAAGTAGAAAATTTCATCAAAAATTTTATCCTTGATGCCTGAATTAAACACACATATATATATATATATACATATATATTTATACAAAACTCTATTTAAGCTTAAAAATGGAAGCCTTGCTAAAAAAATATTTTTTACACTTCTATACAATACTTTAATCTCACATTTCTATTTTGTCTATTATCATTCTTTTATCGTCGTGTTTTTTTTTTAAATCCAACTTTGCTTTTTCATAATGAACGATACTATTGAAAGAAATCGTTTATTTTAATACATAAAAGTCACATATTTATGTTAATTACTTTTTTTTTTGTCTTTTTTTATTCATAAAAAAAAATAATACAATCTTTCTTTCTTTGTCGATCAAAGATAGAAATAAAAACATTTAAAGTTAAAGTGAAACATTCATTTCGTCTCCTTGTTCACAAGCATACATAAAACGAGAACCATAATGTTAGTAGAAACATATCCACACATTATCGATCGAAACGAACATACTTGATTCAAATATGTATGTTTTGTTTGTCTTTCACTTTAGACGAAACGTTCGATTGTAACAAAGAAAAAAAATTGGACGAAAGAACCTGTAGAACCTTGAAATAAGAAACGAAAAAAAAAATGCTTATTTAGATCATATTTAATTCTATGACTAGATTATGTAATAGAAGTTATAATCTGATATAGATTTTACTCTGCGAAATCAGTATTATCTTGGTGAAATCAGTTGATTTATTATGTAAAGCTGAAATAAAAACATTTTCAAGATATTTGAAGCAAACATACTAGACGAAAGGTGACTAATAGTTGAAGTGACTTAACAAGTTTGTTAGATAAACATCGGAAAGCCATTTTTTTACTGGTATTTAACTGTTTCATTTTACTAATAACAACAAAAGAAAAGAAAACAGAGCATATAGCATACATAAATTTAATATTTTACATTTTCATTTGAAAAAAAAAATTCTTATTCACTACAACCATATAAATAACATTTAATGAACATTTGATCGTATAATGTACCCAGAAATATACAAGTAATCAATTTATTTAGTTTGAAAAAGAAAGGTTTCTCATTTTAGTCAAATAATTGACCACAAAACCGCATGAATTCTTACCTCTTGTTTTTTTTCTTTTTCGGTACATTTTAGTATTGAAGAAGTTGTCGGAATGAAACTAAGAATTCTGTTTTAGTTGTTCTCTGCATTTTTATTGATTTGAATCAATCGAACATTTGTTCAGATTCCTCTCATGTCATCAAAACGTTTACAAAAATTGTGAGTGTTTAAAAAAAAAAAAAAGACATAGCTTTTCATGATCCAATACATGATTATAAACAAACAGTAAAACTTTTTTTTCTTTTTCGTCATCTTTCTCTTCGACATTCTCCTTTTTATTCTTCGATACCATTGTGATCACAGACGTTTTTACTGTTCGTTTTTTGTCACAGTAGTAAGAACAAAATTCGTATCAATTTTCATCACATACACAAAAAAAAAATCGTTTAACTTAAATGATAAGCATTTTGTCTTATTCAATATGGTAGATGATAATATTGTTGAAGCTTCTATTGTATGTACTACATGACTTTATTTCTTTGATTATCAAAAGACTAGCTTGATTTTAATAATAAAAAAAATCTGTCAAGAATAAAAGCAAATATGCTTCTTATTTTCTTTTAGCGCCTTGAAGTACTTTCACATGATGATGATGATGATAACCAACATAGTCCTGCTCGTAGTCAAAGTCAGGATATCCTTTTAAACAGAGTTCAAACGCCTCCAATAACACGATCACGATCACGATCACCATACACTGTTTCAAGCCCAGGTTTAAATCGAAACATAATGACGACACCAAGTTCTGCTCAACTTATTGATGAAAATCGATATTTAAATGATGAACTGAATCGAGTCGAAACAATACTTAATTTAACTCGAGCTGAAAAAGATGAATTAAGTATACGGTATAATGCTTTATCTGATCGGGTAAGAATTGATATATTAATCAGAATTGTCTAAAAAAAAAACATCTCACTTATAATTTACAAACATTCTTTGTCGTTTTTTTATTCAGTTTTATGTATTCAGATATTAATTATAAATATTTTCATTCCAATCTTTAGATGTTTTTATTTTTCATTTTTCAAAGAAATATTTTTGTTTATTTCAAAACAAAATAGTAAATTTTGTTTTTATATTTAGCTTGAGCAATCCTTACGTGCACAAGGTATTGATATATCATCAGATTTCAATAATGGTGAACCTGAACAACGTATTCTTGTTCAACAAAACATTGATTTACGACGAAAAATTGAAGAAGAACATCAAAATTACAAACGTAAATTATCGAACTATCAAGAAGGACAATTAAAACAAGCACAACTTGTACAAAAACTTCAACAAAAAGTAAATAAACAAATAAATTCATACATAGAAATTATTTCTTTCTTATAAAAAAGGTTTTACAATATAAAAATCGATGTACAGAACTTGAATTATTAATTGAACAGCATAAAATGGATATGGAACGTATTCGACTTACTGTAAGAGAAAAAAATAAAATTTAGGCACCAAAAAAAAATAACTCAATATTTATTCAATATAGTCAGCTAGTAATGCTCCATCTTCATTGATTTATGAATCACGTATAACAGAAAATACTGATGACGAAAATATAGCAACAATTACACTCGAAGAAGAAAAACATAAGTAAGTTAATACAAATATTCATATTCTCTAATAAAATACATATATTATGAGAATATTATATAATCAAAAAAGAATTTTTTTAAATAATATAGATCAGCTAATCTTGCACAATTAAATACAATATTACGAGAACAACTTGATCAAGCTCATTTAACTAATCAACAATTAAACGAAGATTTACGTCGTACAACATCTGAACTTCAAAAATTACGTGAAGATTTTACACAAAAAACACGCGATTGGAAACAAGAAGAACGAGTTTGTTTTAGACAAAATTCTTTCTTCTATATATTTTTTTTTGTTTTGTTTTTAGGTTTTTAATCAATTTTATAATAAAGAACAGAATCTTATGTATGAATTATGGCGTGATATTGTTTCATTTCGTAAACAATTTATTGAACTCAAAGGCACAACTGAACGTGATTTAACGCGTGTTCGAAATGATCTTGCACAAACAGGACGATCCTTAACAAGTGCTTGTTTTGGATTTTTAACTGTAGCAAAAACAGCTGAAACTCAAGGACAAGTAAATGATAATATATTGATTTATTCATCTTGTATTATTATTATTATTATTATTATTGCTATAGGCTGCATCGGAACGTGAACGTCATGATCGTACAAATTTAGAAAGTCAAATTCGAGAGAAAACACGAGAAATTTCAGATCTACAACAAAGGTATTTAATTATTACGTTCCTAGATATATACAAAAAAAAAATTTTTCTAATCAGATTACAAGAAATATCATTGTTAAATGAAAAATTACGTTTTCAATTGGCTGAAAAAGATGGCACTATTACGACTTTAACACGTGCTAATCAAATTCAACATCAAGCAACAGTTAGTTTCATTTTTTCTATGATACTCTTAAGAAATGATCGAGGAAACTTTCAAAGTTTTATCAATCTTATATAGAAACCTGAAAAAAAAAAAATTTTCTCTATCTAGTATAGAATTAGTAATATTACCATAGATGCAACATCAAGAAACATATCCTTGATCAATACTTAGTTGATGATTGATTCTTTTCTTTTTCTTATTATTAAAATGTAAAATAGACGAAGCCAAATTAAAAAGAAACAAAAACCTGTTTTGGACAACATGAAAATTAGAATAGCCTTCAGATTATTGTAATTATGAACATTTTTATATACGATAAAGTTATTATCATGAGTGCTTGAGTTTGTTAACATATACTCAATTTCAATAGATATAGATGGTAGTTATTTGTTTAATGAACTGTTAATCGTGACTCTTCAACTTTTTCTACGTTGAGTATTTCATGTTATTTGTACTTATCAACTATAAAAGTCTCAAGGTAAAGTAATGACAACTTGTTCTTTGTCTTTGTTATTATCTGATAGATTCCAACGAACTATTAAATAAAAAGAACAAAGAAAAATTATATTCACTATGATAAACTATTTGTTATTAATTTTCATCAGATACATTACAACTAGTAAAATGATATAACTTCGTAGAATTCTGTTCTATGTTATTAGTTATAAAATCTCAATAAGAATAGAAGTTCTTGTAGTTATAAAAAGTGGTTTTCATTGTCAGTATGTTTGTTTTATGTCTTATAACATTTATAAAAATAATGCACTGTATTTCAATTGGCTCTTATAATGATTAAACTAACATTGCATTGTTGTAGGATAGAAATCGATGTATACATATTTATCGATATGAAGTTTGCATTGATGTTCATTTCAGTTCAAAAACAACATTAAATTGCTAGAGAGAATAATCGATTGTGTCTGGTATAGAGAAGCATTTTCATACTGTTCGATCTATTTCCTCAACTTGTTGACATCGTAGTATTCTTTAGCAAGCTATACATCTGTCAATTAACACGAGTAAAGAAAAAAAAAATGATCACAAGAGTAAAAGAAAAATTGACAAAGAGAAAAAAAAAAGTATTTTGATAAAAGAAGCCCATTAATAAATTACATAGTCGAGGACACGATTGTTTATTCTACGGCAATAGTAGTGAAAGGTACCTCATGAGAAAAAAATTAAACAACAGCTAGAAGCGATAGTTGTCAATCACTTGTTGTCTGCGACAAATTCTCTCGTCGAGATGTTACAACATAGTGCGGTTACGTGGGTGAGTGTCTATAGACATACGAACACAAATATATATATATATATATCATTGTCTTCTCAAACATTTATTTAAATATCTTGAAAATGAAACTTTAGAATTATATGATTGTCTTTTAATACACTTTTTTATTAGTTAATATTCATCTTAAGACGATGTAAAAATTGATTAATTACAAAGTATTGATCTTGTTCAGGTTTAATTCGATGATAATTTTTCATATGATTTTGATTATCATTTTCTTTTATAATAGAATTTTTGAAAATACGATAACGAAAAATGTATACTAATAAAAGTGTACAGTAAACAATAGATATAGCTAAAGATAAAAAGATAAATGCAATATTATTTCGATTATTTGTTGATATTTCTGTTTCAGAATGAATGATAGTAATAAAAAGCAGAAACATCAATAATATTAATAGTATTTTTTCAATCATTAATTTTTAATGTTTGTAAAAAAATAATTGATTGAAATATTATCAAACAGTTGTAATTGAAGAACAACACCGACGGATGTTACTTGCCAACTATTTCACTATGATCATTAGTAGGAGCAACAACATCAATTCTAATAAATTTTTAGACACAGAAAATAGACTAACAACTGTGCATCTGTATACGAGCTATACAGACTTATCAATACTTGTTTACAAAACTTTCTCAAATTTCTTTTTTTTTTTTTTTTTTGACAAATCTTGTTCGTTTAATTCTAATGAAGTTTTTTATAGAGAGGAAAACTTGAGAAAAATGAAATAAGATGCTTGCGGTTTTGCATTCTTTCCTTTTTTTTTTTTCTTTTGCTTGAAAATATTTCATGGAGAGAATGAGAGAACAAAAAAAAGAATTCTCTTCATCGTCACCGTATGGTGTGCATAAGTAATACTACCTTCAACATCAATTCTCATTCTTCTTTTCTCTTCTTCTCGTGTTTCGTTTTCATTCATTTCTTAACATTGTTGATTTGGTTTGCGGTTCCTATCTGACCACTATCGTTATGTTTCGACGAACACAGGTATGAACAAAGTTAATAAAATTATTATTATTATAATTTTGGTATATAATCCATAGCGAAAGTATGTGAACCTAGTATTCGAAAAACAAAAAAGAAAAATTGCTAGAACAATGCTTGTCTGATCATTCATTCTTTTTTCAATCGTTCAATAATCTATGCAAATTTTTACTTTTCTTTCTTCCCAGTTTTTTTTTCTTTTCGGTTCGTTCATTGCTATTGAATAATCATTTATAGAAATGCGTAGACTTTAATCTAAGATGGTATGATTTATTATAGGAAACGTCGTCTTCGGCTTTAGAAACACGTACTCGAGAAATAACTGCTGATACGGAACGGCTTCACCAACGATTACGAGATATAGCACAATCTGTACTTAATGATGAGGATGATATATTCGATGGAAATGATTATGGACGAACATCACCTCGACGTTTATCACCATTACGGGGTGCTGATCGATTTGATTCACCTGAGCGAGGTTATACTCGGTATGTAATTTACTTTTTTTTTTTTTTTGTAAGAAAAGAATAGTAGAAGACAAGTAAGTTCTTTAAAGAGCAATTGAACAAAAGAATTGAATTTTGTGCCCTCACGCGTTTTAAGAGCTCGAACTCCATTGTTCGCCAAGCTCAAAAGGACGAGAATGCTTTTAGGGTAATAGAGGAAAGAAAAAAAAAAAAAGAGATTTTTTTCTTTTTTTTTTATATTACATGAAATTTATCTTAAATTTATTTCTATTTTATATCATCAATGTAAAAAATATGCTTGTAAGGTTTACTTTAAAAATGAATAATCTGAATGGCTTCTGTTAGTTCCTTTGGATAAGAAATCGAAAAAGTTTCTAAAAAAAAAAAAAAGAAAAGAAGTTCTAAAATAAATTTTATTCAAGGCTTCAAAAAAGAAATACAACAACAACATCCATTGAAATTGCCTTGAAACCAATGGTGTGAACAAGAAAAAAATTTGATCTATTTAACAACATAATGGGAAATCATTATTTAATAACATTTAGAATTCATCTTAAAGAAAATAATTAAATCTGATATGATTTCAATTTTAATCGAATTCATTGGTGTGTATCTTGAGAAAAGTTGTTTCTTTATATTCATATTCATAGTTTTCAATTGTTAAGAGTTCATTTGTTAGTTTTAAAAATTCGTTCATTCATTGATATGAAGAGCTACCATTATCATTGACGTAATCAACATGCACAATGTTGATTTGATATGTTATTTATTAAGAAAAAAAAAAAACACGAATTCATTATTGTTCTTTTTTCTTTATTCAATAATGCCTTATTATAAGTAGTTCGACAGAAAAAATGTCATATTTTTTTTTATTATCTGCAAAAAAAAAAGAAAAATACTAGAAACCAATAGAATCGATTGTTATGTAAATTTAACATGAGTGATAAAAAAATAACAGAAAAACTCTTAATAAAGCAAGATAAGAAAAAATAATGAAACATCTCCAAATCCAATAAAGAGAATGTTGTTTTACATGCCATAGAAAATTTTAAAAAATTTACTTTTTTTACTCATTCAAGAATAACCACAATTAAGAATGCAGACATCATTTGTTTGCCAAACTAGACATTGAAAAAATGAATTCACCGAAGATAGATACTTTTTAAGTCAAATTTTAAAATAATAGGCCTTGAAATCATCTATCAAGATCAAAATCTTACGAGAAAATTCTTTCAACTGATAAACTCCATTCAAGCTATTCTTTGAGTTCTTCAGAAGTATCGAAATTTTACTGAGTTATTCAACAAAAGCTATAGTATTATATAAAATATTGAATGTCTCAAGATAGGAAATACTAGAAAAGCGACAACTTATCCAATGAACTAATAACCCAGTAAAATGTCGGTATCTCAAAAAACGAAGGTCTGAAACCTACTAGTACCTTACTAATGTCACATCATCGAAATTCTAAACATTTTGTCTCCATATCATATCTAAAGACATTCATGATGATAAAGATCTTGTTTCTTGTGAATATAGGGAAATCTAATGGATTGTAACTATTATGTTTAGACTTCGTTCGCCTCGATCGAATTCACCTCAACGTCCAACGCAAGCATCTCGACCACACTCTCGTAATGTTTCACCATCATTTGCTGATAGTACATTTAGTGCTGTTCATGCTGCATTAAATAAACGTCAAGTTCAGGTAATAAATCATTATTTAAATCGATAATCTATTTCTCATTTCATTTTTTTTCTTCTTTTTCTTTTTGGATAACGAAAAATAAAAATTTTCCTTACGTGATCCGTTTAGATTTCACTTGGTTGGAAACCTAATAATTATCTCACCGAAAGAGGAGGAGTACCAAATTAAACATAAACTAAAAAAACTAAACTATCTCGAATTTTTTTTTTTACTTGATTTTTTTAATTTCTCGCTTTTAATACAGGGTGTCTCAAAAGTCTGTCTTGAAAAAGAAAACGTGAATAACTTTAAATTAGTTTAAGTAATTTATAATTATTTGTTTTTTTCCTATATGATGATAGTATGTTCTTTGACACTAGATAAAACACTGTTTTTAATTCATTTGTCTAAATAGGATAGGATAGTAGTAAATTGAAAAAGTTATGGAAGATTACACTCAAAAGTGCGTTTCTCAAAAAGAGGCGAAATCAGAGAACATTTTCAATAGTTTCTCAAATTCAGACTAGAACTAAACTTCTTCACCTCAAAATACTTTAGTTGTCTTAGCTGAGTGGCTACATTGATCAACACATATCTCGAAAGAACTGTGTGCAAAGTTTACTACCATCAGTCGTGGAA